AGGCACATGAGGCTATAAAATGTTAATGCATTTAAATTTACATGTAAATATCCACAACGGCTACATTTAATTGTGGCTACATTTTAGACAGAGCCATTCTAGTCCAAGTTATCCTAAAAGGAAATGTTTCTTTTCTAAAAGTAGGGAGATCATGAACATTAAGAATCATTGGATGAGGCCAGGCGCGGTGGCTCAAGCCTGTAATCTCAGCACTTTGGGAGGCCGAGGCGGGTGGATCACAAGGTCAAGAGATCGAGACCATCCCAGTCAACATGGTGAAACCCCGTCTCTACTAAAAATACAAAAAATTAGCTGGGCATGGTGGCGTGTGCCTGTAATCCCAGCTACTCAGGAGGCTGAGGCAGGAGAATTGCCTGAACCCAGGAGGCGGAGGTTGCGGTGAGCCGAGATGGCGCCATTGCACTCCAGCCTGGGTAACAAGAGCGAAACTCCATCTCAAAAAAAAAAAAAAAGAATCATTGGATGGAACAGAACAGAGGCCTCGGAGGCAACACAACATATCTACAACCATCAGATCTTTGACAAACCTGACAAAAACAAACAATGGGGAAAGGATTCCCTGTTTAATAAAAGGTGTTGGGATAGCCATGTGCAGAAAGCAGAAACTAGACCCCTTCCTGACACCTTACACCAAAATTAACTCCAGATGGATTAAAGACTTAAACATCAGACCTAACACCATAAAAACCGTAGAAGAAAACCTAGGCAAAACCATTCAGGACATACGCATAGGCAAGGACTTCATGATCAAAACACCAAAAGCATTGGCAACAAAAGCCAAAATAGACAAATGGGACCTAATCAAACTCCACAGCTTCTGCACGGCAAAAGAAACAGTCAGTAGAGTGAATTGGCAACCAACAGAATGGGAAAAAATTTTTGCAATCTACCCATCTGACAAAGGGCTGATAACCAGAATTTACAAAGAACTAAAACAGATTTACAAGAAAAAAGCAAACAAGCCCATTCAAAAGTGGGCAAAGGATATGAACAGATACTTTACAAAAGAAGACATACATGAGGCCAACAAACATATGAAAAAATGCTCATCATCACTGGTCATCAGAGAAATGCAAATCAAAACTACATTGAGATACCATCTCACGCCAGTTAGAATGGCGATCATTAAAAAATCTGGAGACAACAGATGCTGGAGAGGATGTGGAGAAACTTTTACACTATTAGTGGGAGTGTAAATTAGTTCAACCATTGTGGAAGACAGTTTGGCGATTCCTCAAGGACCTAGAAATAGATATTCCATTTGACCCAGCAATCCCATTACTGGGTATATATCCAAAGGATTATAAATCATTCTACTACAAGGACATGTGCACACAAATGTTCATTGCAGCACTGTTTACAATAGCAAAGACCTGGAACCAACCCAAATGCCCATTGATGATAGACTGGACAGGGAAAATGTGGCACATATACACCATGGAATATTATGCAGCCATCAAAAACGATGAGTTCGTGTCCTTTGTAGGGACATGGATGAACTTGGAAACCATCATTCTCAGCAAACTGACACAAGAGCAGAAAATCAAACACCGCATGTTCTCACTTACAGGCAGGTGTTGAACAATGAGAACACATGGACACAGGGAGGGGAGCACTACACACTGGGGTCTGTTGCGGGGAAATAGGGGAGGGACAGCGGGGGGTGGGGAATTGGGGGGAGAGAGCATGGGGAGAAATGCCAGATATAGGTGATGGGGAGCAAGGCAGCAAATCACACTGCCACGTGTGTACCTATGCAACAATCTTGCATATTCTTCACATGTACCCCAAAACCTAAAATGCAATAAAACACACACACACACACACACACACACACACACACACACACATAGAATCATTGGAATAAATATTAAATTTGTACTATTTTTTTTTTTTTTTTTGAGACGGAGTTTCGCTCTCGTTACCCAGGCTGGAGTGCAATGGCGTGATCTCAGCTCACCGCAACCTCCGCCTCCTGGGTTCAGGCAATTCTCCTGCCTCAGCCTCCTGAGTAGCTGGGATTACAGGCACGCGCCACCACGCCCAGCTAGTTTTTTGTATTTTTAGTAGAGGCGGGGTTTCACCATGTTGACCAGGATGGTCTCGATCTCTCGACCTCGTGATCCACCCGCCTCGGCCTCCCAAAGTGCTGGGATTACAGGCTTGAGCCACCGCGCCCGGCTAAATTTGTACTATTTACATTACAGCTGATACTCTTTATATGTAATTAAATTAAGAATTAACATTATCAAATTAATTTTCCTATGGTCCAAGATCTCATGCCTAAATCTTTTTTTTTTTTTTTGAGACTGAGTCTTGCGCTGTCACCAGGCTGGAGTTCAGTGGTGTAATCTCGGCTCACTGCAACCTCTGCCTCCGGGGTTCAAGCGATTCCCCTGCCTCAGTCTCCCGAAGAGCTGGGACTACAGGTGTGCGCCACCATGCCTGGCTAATTTTTTGTATTTTAGTAGAGATGGGGTTCACCATGTTGGCCAGGATGATCTTGATCTCCTGACCTTGTGATCTGCCTGCCTCAGCCTCCCAAAGTGCTGGGATTACAGGAGTGAGACACCGTGCCTGGCCGCCTAAATCTTTTCATGTGATCATTATGCTAAATTTCACTAGATGATATACTAAGTGAAACTGATTTTATTTTCATATTGGATAACAGGTATAGGCCTTTATTTTTATCTTGTTATATTACAAGTCCCCAAAGTTAGGACTATCAACAGTTACTGTCTGCTACTTGAGATAATAGCAAACAGCAATCTGAGTTGACAGCTAAAGATTATCTGCAGGGAGCACTGGGAGCAAAGATATGAGCACAGGGCACAGGGCTGACCTGAAATGCTGCTTTCTGGAATTTGTCACCAACCTCCTACTTTCACTCACTCTTTATTCTGTTTTGCCTCCTCTTAAAATGGTCAGACTTAGACATCTGAGGCAGGTACTGAGCCTATGATGATGATAACAGTCGTAGTACTAGAAAGAAAAGAACAATTGAGTTTCTTTTCTTTCTTTTTCTTTCCTTTTTATTTTTGAGACAGAGTCTTACTCTGTTGCTCAGGCTGGAGTACAGGTTCCAGCTCACTGCAAACTCTGCCTCCCAGGTTCAAGTGATTCTCCTGCCTCAGCCTCCTGAGTAGCTGAGACTACAGGCATGCACCACCATGCCTGGCTAATTTTTCTATTTTTAGTAGAGATGAGGTTTCACTATGTTGGCTAGGCTGGTCTCCAACTCCTGACCTCAGGTGATCTGCCCTCCTAGGCCTCCCAGATGAGCCACCGTGCCTGACCTCACAACTGAGTTTGTAACCCTCAAGAATCTCGGGTCATTCTTGGTCACAGGTGTACACTAACCTTCCACTGGGGTACTGAGCTTTCAGAAACAATGAGAATTGTATTTACAACTGAGCAGATGAGGGTCCAGAATATAGGAATACGACCTGTTCAAAAGCCCAGGGGAACAAAGACCACAATATTCTCCATGGGGCAAACAGGTTGGAACAGTGAAATATACCACAAACAAAATCAAATGTTGACTGGCACCTGGTTTTTCTAGTAAGTTAGAAAAAAGAACACGTCATATAATATAGCTAATTAATCAAGGGAACCCCACCTCCTCGGGGGACCACTGTTTGGTTTCTGTTGGCACTTTTAAAAGCAGCAAACTATCCTAATGACATAGGCTGACTGGACTTTAGGCACTTAACTTTCAACTTTCTGTAAATAAAGACAAACAAACTAAAGATCAAGGCAAAAACCCCACACTCACACAAAACGTCAGTAACTAGATAAACATGACTCAATTTTTTGCATGTTAAGCCTTAGAATGTACAGTGCCAGGTGTTGGAATAAGCCAGTTTGGGTAGGATGTGGGCACATCCAGCAACCATAAATTTGTTATGAACCCGGCCAACTCGTTTCAATGAGAACACTGTCAATGTTGGGAGAAAACAAAATAATATAAATAAAAAATAAAAATTATAAAAAATATTTCTGAAGCAATTTTAAGGCAATGGATCCAGCTAGAACAACATTATTAATGGAATTCCTTTTCTTCTGTGCACGGAGGTTCTCAGATCCTGAGACAAGCCAATACTTGAAAATTATGTAAATTCATTGTGAAGAGTATAAAATATATTTAAAAAACTTAAAGATATACTTAGCCAATTCATTAAACACATCTCTCCACCATCACAGACATCTCTCCTGTCATCTCAGTGGTCCTCTCCCAGGGTCATTTTGCCCTCCCTCCGGGAGAACATTTAGCAATGTCTTGATACGTATCTGAATGTGATCATTTGGGGAGTGCTACTGGGAAGACATCAGGGATGCCATTCAACATCTAGTAAGCAGAGAGCAGCCCCCACACCACAGAATGATCCATCCCCAATGGCCATCGTGCCACAGTGCAGAATCCCTGAAACATCCAGACGTGGATAGTACCTTGTATTTCCAGGAGGGGAATGAGATGAGAAAGGCTTGAGGAAGACCATCTGCTGTGTCACATGATCTTCTGTGTTTACAGCAGAGCACACACTTGCAAACCAGTCAGCTAGAATTAACTCTGCAATTCTCAACTGTGGACAGAATATTCTGAAGCATGAATCCACTGAACTGCTTGCCAACATTCATGTGCAGCTTCCAGCAATTTAAGATTCACAGAAATAATTTGCAGTTTGTGGATCAACCTTAGTAAAAGGACAACTGCTAACATGAAATAATAAAGAACAGGTTCCAGAATATCTGAAATCTTCTCTAGTTTCTGCATGACATCATTTTAACATTTTAACATTTGCCAAGAAAGAAGGTTCCACATTTATTTTACTGGATAGAGAAAGTTATTCTCACAGTCCATAAGGCATATAATCTCACACACTGGAATGCCAATGACATCACAGCTACAAATGCTAACACGTGATTTTTATAAAACCAACAAGCCTTTCCTCCTCTCTTTAATGAAACAGTGTACTCACAGGCTTATTTCTGGATTTTGTAAGTGCAAGTACAGAGGCTGCAGGATGGCCTGGGTCTTGGAATCTGGAAGGTTCTCCACAGCAATTTGCATGGAGACACAGGATGAATGACCCTCAGGCTGTTAATCACCAGCATCTTTACCCTGAAACCTTGATCAGTTCCCAAACAACTTGCAGGAATCCAATAACCTAGAGGGAAGAGGGCAAAGGAGCAAAAGCTATAAACAACAGAGACTTAAGATCATGGGGAAACTTCTAAGTATTCAGACCAGTAATACATACCCTTAGGTGGAGGGGAGGGCAAATGGGAGTCAATTATCCCTTTTGCTCCTCAAACTCATTGGTCATCCAAGATGACAAACCCATTTGCTTTCCCTCACATTCACTTGGTGCTCCTGCCCACCCACTAGCCACATGGACTTCAGTCCTTCCAATTCCTGTCTTTCCCTCCGGCCTGTGCAGATGTTCTTCCTTCCCTGGACTCTTCCTCCATCTCTGCCTGGTGAATCCCTACCGCCACTTCAGGTGACTGACACCACCATTACTTCCTCAAAGCTTCCCAGACCACGTGCTTACCAGGTCAGCCCAGAACCTGCCTCATGGTCACAGTGCTTATGGTAGTTGAATTAATATCTGACCAGAAATGTACTTTAAGAATGCAGCCTCTCTAGTATCTAAGCCCCACAGTGGTAGGGACCATGGCTGCCTTGATTAGAGCTGCATCTCTTAGGGACACAGTGCTTCATTCAAAATAGGTGCTGGGAGTACTAGCCAGGTGACCTGAGCAGGCTTCCTTGGTGACAAAGAAGTTGGTCCTAACTTCAAGAACCAAGAACTGTGCCATGCTGCCAGCACACTCTGAGACAGTACTAGAGGTCTTCCCTTTTCTCAAACGCAGCCATCACCCATTTGTAGGGGTGTCTATACTTTTAAAACACTTTTAAATATTTCTCCTTTGAGAGGAGGGTCTCATATCCCTAAAAGATCCAAAGAACCTCCCAAATCCTGCCTGATATAAAAGAGGACCCTCCTTGAATATGAACCTCATCTAGTCTCACAGGGCTGGAATTCTGCCAGTTAGCACTTTCATTTCAAACTATATTGTCATTTCTTTTGCTCCAAGCACAGTGGTGGTGCTATGATGCAAAGATGATCAAAGCTTGAACTCTATCTTCCAGGTACCTAATTTCTCCCTTAGGAGCCCTTGAAATGCACATACTATGGGTAAGAAAAACATAGAGCAAATCAGTTCACAGAAGGGTGTTTTTGCCACCTCAGATTCTGCCTTCTCTTGCCAAAAGAAGGGCTCTCAGCAGTATGGCCATGCTGGGGTGGTGGTGGGGGTTGGGGTAGGTGGGAACAGGTGTCAAAAGGCACAAACACAGGAGTTGAGGGGCATTAAAGTCACATTTCACTTACAAATCTGAACTTTATTGCTTCATACCATCTTTCCAAGAAAATTGTAAGATACAAAACCCACATCATGGTCCCAGTGATGCTGAGCAAGGAGGCAAATATTGTGCTTTCATCCTCCCCTCTTTGTGTACATTCCTGCTGGTAATTGGCTGTGAATTAGCTCTTCTCCTCTGTACTGCTGTCCTTGACCTTCCTCCATCTGAGCTACAGAGAAGGCTACACCTATGTGAAAGTTGGGAGAATCATCTCTGTGCACTGTGAAATGAAGCACAGCAGGGTGAGAAGCCAGTCTTTCGGCACAGTGCCATGAGCTTTGCTTTGCATGTGCATCACTTTTCTAATGTGCGCTGAACTCAGGGAGCCAGAGATGTGCGGCCATTACATTAAAGGGGACTGGCAGGAAGTCAGTGAATCCCATGGAGGTTCCTTATCTCTAGGCCTAACTTCCTACCTGAGGTCTTTAGGCCAATGTATTAGCCTGTAATAAAGTACCATAGACTGGGTGGCTTAAACATATTTGTTGTCTTGGCTGGGTGCAGTGGCTCACGCCTGTAATCCTAGCATTTTGGGAGGATGCGGTGGGCAGATCATGAGGTCAGGCGTTCAAGACTAGCCTGACCAACATAGTGAAACCCAGCCTCTACTAAAAATACAAAAATTAGCCAGGCATGGTGGCGAGTGCCTGTGATCCCAGCTACTCAGGAGGCTGAGGCAAGACAATTGCTTGAACCTGGGAGATGGAGGTTGCAGTGAGCTGAGATTGTGTCACTGCACTCCAGCTTGGGCAACAGAGTGAGACTTCATCTAAACACACACACACACACACACACACACACACACACAATTTGTTGTCTCATGGTTTTGAAGGCTAAAATCTAGAAATCTGAGGTCCAAGTTCTTTGCAGGATTCCTTCCGAGGGCAGTGAAAGATCTGTTCCAGGCCTTTCTACTTGGATAATTTTCTGTGCCAACTTGGCTAGGTCACAGCACCCAGATATTTGGTCAAATACCACTTTAAATGTCACTGTGAATGTATGTTTTAGATGAGATTAACATTTAAATCAGTAGACTTGGAATAAAGCTGATTACCCAGCTGGGCACTGTGGCACATACCTGTAATCCTAGCACTTTGGGAGGCCGAGGTGGGTAGATCACCTGAGGTCAGGAGTTCAAGACCAGCCTGGCCATCATGGTGAAACCCCACCTTAAAAAAAAAAAAAAGCTGATTACTCTTCATGTGGGTGGGCTCTACCCAATCAGTCTTCAGTGAAAAAAGACAGGTCCCCTGAGGAAGAGGAAATTCTACCTCCAGACGGCCTTTGGACTGGAGCTGTGCCACGGCACCAGTTTGTGCTCACAATACAGTCTGAACGTGTCCCCAGAGTTCATGTGTTGGAAACTTAATCCACAATGCGAGTGTCGAGAGGTGATTAAATCATGAGGGCTCTCCCCTCATGAATGGATTAATACCATTACTGGGGGGAGCTGATTATTTTCTGAGGTAGTGGGTTCCTGATAAAAGGACAAATTTGGCCTCCTTCCCTCCCTCCCTTCTTCTTCACCCCTAACCACTCCCACTCCTCACATGCACATGCTCTTGCCCTTCTGCCTTGTGCTATGGGATGATGCAAGAGGGCCCTCACTAGATGCTGAGCAGATGCTGCACCTTGCCCTTAGACTTCCCAGCCTCCAGAATCATAAGCCACATAAATTTCTGTTCATTATAAATTATCCAGTGTCAGGTATTCTGTTATAGCACAAAACAGAATAAGACAGGCTGTAATATCAATGTTCCCTGGTTTCTAGCCAGATGGCCTGCACTGCAAATTTCAGATTTGCTAACCCTTACATTCACAAACCAATTTTAAAAAATAAATCTCTCTAAACACCCACATACACACACACACACACACACACACACACACACACACACAATTGGTTTTCTTTCTCTAGAGAACACTTAATAAACTTTGCTTTTGGTAATTCCTTGGTTTGTGTCAGCATTAAGTCCAATTTTCATAAGCCTTTCTCATCTTGTCTGTGTCCAAATTTCCCCTTTAATTAAGGACACCAGCTATATTGGACTAGAGGCCACCTTAATGACTGTCATTATCTCAATAAAGACCCAATCTTCACGTGAGGTCACATTCTGAGGTACTGGGGCTTAAGACTTAAACATATGAATTTGAAATGGGAGGGTGCAATTCAACTCGTAACAGCCAGTGACACTTAAAGTATGTCTGCATTGCCTAAAAGGTGTTGATAATTCGCAAAGTAAAAATCACTTTTGTTTAGTTTTATCTGTTTGTGTAAATACAGTTTTTAGTGAGAGTGTGGATGCCAAAATGTCTAAGGAGATGAGAAATTACCTTGCTGAAGCCATGTAAAAGTCTGGCTCAGGATTTAAAAGACAGACTGCCCATAAGCTTTAAATATCTTACCTTGATAGTACCTGGAGCCAGGTGAGAGCACCTAGTTTTTAAATAACTTCACTTTCTGAATTCACTTAGCAGGTTTAAACAGCAATAGACCATGGGTCAACTGAATCTAGCATCTGTTTTCCCCTTATGACGGCAAACTTCAAACTTGTACCAAAAAAGGTGAGAATAAATCACCTATATATCCACTACTCTATTTCAACAATTACCAGTTTGTGGCTGGATAGGGCCTAGGAGAGCTAAGCCTTCTGTGCTATCACTGATTAGTCATGTATGCCTTAGATATTACTAACATATTCTTTTTCTGTTGTCTTGCAGCCTTAGAAATGTGTGAAAAAAGATTCTAAAAGTCTTTAAATGTCATTCATAAGCAATGTATTTATTAAATGCCTCATAGCTTGAACTCTGCCTAATTAAGTGACTTACACAAAACAGACAGCAAAAGTACTAACAAAAGGTTACAATTATATTGAAAAATTCATTGATTGGCATCAGACTCTTCATTTTCTCAACTCCTGATTTCAAAAGAAAGCCTACCTTTTGCAATTTCCTGAAATTTAAATTAGAGATTACGCTGCTATGTCTTAAGAAAGCTTAGCTTCCTCCTGTCACTCACTTCTTCCTTGAGAGCGTGATCCCAATCTGAGGTTGCCAAAGGTTTCAAAATATATTTCTTATACCTGATTTGTGTGTTGCAACTAACTGCCCCAGTGTGGCCAGTGATGTGATTAATTTCCCTCTTTCCACCAGATTTTCCTAATATTCATATGCACTCAGAAGGCACTCAACCTTTATTGTATTCCAACTGTGAGCCGTGGCAGCCTTTTTGCCTGGCTCCATGAACAGGGCAGCTACGTATAGGCACTGAGAATGGTGCCCTTGCTGTTTTGGCCTTTCGGTTAATTCCAGTCCAGGTACTGATTTAAAATAACCAAGAAAGTTTTTCATTTCCAAAATATTCAAGAATAGTGCAGTTTTTCACTAAGTCCCTGAAGACAGGGGAGGTAGGGTGAACTTTGGTTCACTGGGGACTCTGATGCAGGCTGTGAATAGCGACTCCTCTGCGAGATGCGCAGGGGCAACTTTTCTCACTAGAGATTTCTGACTATTCTCCATACTTCAGCAAGATTTTTAAAGTGTAAAGTGGAAATGGTCAGATTATCAGTAAAGGAATGAGGGGAAGCAGAAAGCAATGTGGTATTCAGTGGCTAATGTCAGGCCTCCATGTGCAAGCCCGTACCCAGAAAGTCTAAAGTCCTGCCAGCCTCGGCTCATCACCCCCACTGCCTGCCTGCATTTGCCATTATCCCTGATAGCCCTGGAGAGTTTCCCCATACATAAGCTTCCCCTCACCCCACCCTGCCATCTTAACTGTTATTATGATAATATGAATACTCCTCACCCAAACCTGCCATATTAACTACTATTACACCTTACGCCATCTGCCACTGTAACTGAACTTAAGGTAATGTATACTACTTGCCCCTACCCCCGCCACTGTAACTGATCTTACTCTGTAACTTTCCACTGCCCATCCCAAAGCTATAAATCAACTCCTAACCCACTGCCCTTCGCATGCCCTTTTCGGCCTTAGCCCACCTGCATCCAGGTGAATAAACAGCCATGTTGCTCACACAAAGCCTGTTTGGAGGGTCTTGTCATTCAAAGCGCGCGTTTTTAACAGCTAACACAAAGCATATAAACAAATTGAGGTGTATGCATCTTCATTAACTCCTTTCCCAAGCTTTCCCAGCAAAAGTAAACGTGAGGGAAGTACACTCATATTAATACTAATGTGTTTTCAGCAGCCTTAGAGCAGTAGCATTTAATGTTGAATACCACACAGAATCCCAGCCACCAAAACTGTCTGTATTTTGGAGGTTCCTCTCCTCCAGCTCTGGGGCAGGACACATTAGAAAAACTCAGATTTGTCCATGGGACACAACTGTGCTTCTGATCTACTCTGGGGGTGGCTGTGTATGTCCACAGTCCCTGGCATAGTCAGGTGGGAACATCAACATTGTAGACCAGAGGGAGTCCCATCTTCCTGCTCTTCGGTTTCTGGAAATGCACTCCTCTCATCCCACAAAGTCTCTGGGAAAGCTGTTCTACCTTTTAATAGACAGAATCCTAAAAGGGTGTCTGGTGACCCCCTTTGTGGAGAAAGAGAGCTAGAGTGGGGAAGTGGCTATTCCCCCGCGGCCACCCTCCCACTCCCATTCCTCAGAGAAGTCCTGTCGGGACCCGGGCCAGCCTCGCGGAACCAAAAGCTTTTCTGGCTCCAGGGCCCATAGCGGCATCCAATCATGTTTGCGGCAAGGGGGGCAGTTCCTGCCCTTTCAGGCATACCACGCCCCGCTGCTGACCACGCTCCTCACTGTCTCCCGCCCTTACCCGAACGATTTGCCTGAGCCACAACCTCCTTATTCGCTCCTGGGACCCAAGGCTCCAGCACTCGGCCATCTTGGCCACGCCCCCTCACGTTTAGCCACGTCCCTCACGCAGCAAACGTCATTTCGTCATCCCGGACCACGCCCCTTTCAGTTCCGCTTCCGTCCTGGACCCAAGCTCAAATCTCGCTCTGGCCACGCTTCCCCAGCGCCGGAGCCCAGACCTGCTCTCCGCTCTGGCTACACAACTCCTGTCTGCCACGCACCTGCATGGTAACTTGCCCACTCCTCTGCCCTCCGCCTGCTTCACCATCTTTGTTACGCCCCTCAGAGCAACAAGGCACGCCCACGCGTAAGGACCGCGCCCCCACGTTCAAGGCACGTCTTGCGTTCCGCCTACGTCATGGCTTTACTTTTCTCGCTACGTCCCCTCCCGCTCACTATTCCGCGGCCCGCCTCTCCAGCTGTGGCCACTTTTGCACGCTTCGCTCAGTCCACGCCTCTGAGTGCAGTTCGTTTCACATACCAGTGATGGCCTACCGCCATCTCCCTCCCTTGGGCCCACGTCCCTACTCTCCTCCGCCTGAGGCTGCCCCTCCCGCGGATTCGACCATCTTTTTTATACCCTTCCGACTACGTTACGCCCTTCACGTCAGGGCTAAGGTCCACTCGTTCAGGTCACTCCCCTGCGGTACTCCTGGGCCACGCCACTTCCGCTAAGCTTTGCAGCCTGCACTCCTCACTGGCGGGGCTGTTCCCGCTTTGGCTAAGCTTTTCCTTTCTCTCGGAATAGGCCAGACCCCTCTTGTTCGCGTCACTTCCCTTCCTGCATTCCACATCCCTCCGTTTGGCCAGTCCTAGCAGTCCTCCCAGGCCACAGGCCACGATCCTACGGTCCTCGTTGGCCACGCTCACCTGGCGCATGCGCGTTTACCTTACTCTCTGGCCACGCCTTAGGTTCCCAGGCCACCCAGTTTTGGTTCTACTTTCTTGGTCAAGCCTCTCCGGCCAGTTCTATGCCCTCTGCGCCCCTTTTAGGTGCGAGGCTTGATTGCGGTAAACCGCGGAGAAATTGGAGGGGCCCACCGGTCTCCGGAGAGAACTGTCCAGGTGCTGGAACCAGACGTCCGCGGCATTTATAGTGAAATGAGCCTGCAGATCTCTGATCCTCTCCTAAAAAGTGACTTTCTTTATGTATCTCCCAACTCTAAACACCAGAACTCGTTAAGCAAAAACCGAGTAGGAAACAATTGGTGGGCCAGTGGTGGAGCCCCCTTGCTAGGGTATTCCTTCTAGCTAGGTTTCATGTCCTTTAGCCCTACTTGGAGATAAACTGGAACCGTGTTCCTTCCAGCCCTTCAGCAGACTATAAATGCTAGGGTGATGCTTGGAGTAAGCACACGCCTCTACTTCCTGATGTGTCCTCTGATGACTTTTCCTAGGCACCTGGTGCCCTAATGCTCTCTAGGTCCTGTCGAGACACCACCACATTCAGACCTCTGCTTGCAGTCCTGTACTCCAATATTACTCTTTTTTACTCCCTCCATTCGCAATTCGGGGGTCACAGTAAAAAAGTGAGGAGGTTATTACCAGCTTTTCTTTTCTGTCCAGAAATTTCTGAATGGACACTCATGGAGAATGGACACTTTCCATTAGCCATTCATTCATTCATAACAGATTTATCAAGTACTATGTTCCATTAAGAAATAAGACACAAAGACATTACAGACTGAGGTTCCCCAACTCAGGTTTGGATGGCACAAGAATTGAGAAAGTTAAAGATGGTGTGATAAAGGAGTTGATAGGTGTAATAGGACCTGGTAAGTGCTGGTTTGTTCTAATTAGCAAGAGAATTTGGGGGCAGCAAGCATAGGAAGCCACTTTCATAGTACTTACTACAGCTTCCTTCACAATAAATTCCCAATCTTCAGAGTATTCCCTTTTCACTTGTTTGGAGGACTACAGTTTTTCCCTCCAAGGCAGTAAGATTTACTATATATACTTCTACATATGCCAACAATCAAGATTTTATGATCACACGTAAAGTGTAAAAGTTCCCTTCTCTTCCCACCTTTCATCCATTTCCACTTTGAAGACAGTGGGAACTTTCACAATATTGAGCTAGAAAGAGCACAGAGTAAAAGATAATTTTCAACAAAGCATTTTTTATTAAGCTCACCTTGGCTCTTATAACCCTTATCTCATTTATATAAAATGTTTCCAATGCCAATCATTTTTTGCATGAAAAATTAAACACAGGAAATGGGACCAAGTGCAGCCTGTGTAACTTACTGCATTGATTTTTATAGCATTATTTATACTTCACCTTTTCTCCCAGATGATTTGAAGCAGCACACCGAAACATAGGCAACACTGTATAAAAGAAATATAGTTTAAGGAACCAGAGGGGAAATTCATGGAGGGAGACTAAATAATGTAGCCAGTGGTAAGATTAACACTCAAGTATGCACACCTTCAGATCCAGAACAGTTGCTGAAGGTTCGAAAGAGATCTGACTCTTAAGTTTCTATAGAAAACAGGAGATAACAAGTATTTTAAGGTTTTACAGTGTTCATAAAAACCAATCAGGAGCCGGGCGCGGTGGCTCAAGCCTGTAATCCCAGCACTTTGGGAGGCCGAGGCGGGTGGATCACGAGGTCAAGAGATCGAGACCATCCTGGTCAACATGGTGAAACCCCGTCTCTACTAAAAATACAAAAAAATTAGCTGGGCATGGCGGCGCGTGCCTGTAATCCCAGCTACTCAGGAGGCTGAGGCAGGAGAATTGCCTGAACCCAGGAGGCGGAGGTTGCGGTGAGCCGAGATCGCGCCATTGCACTCCAGCCTGGGTAACAAGAGCGAAACTCCGTCTCAAAAAAAAAAAAAAAAAAAAAAAAAAAAAACCAATCAGGATTTTGTTTGCTTTTGAGAAGCACTGTTTTTTGTTTGTTTGTTTGTTTTTTAAAATACTTTTAGCACCAAGGCAAATCCCAATTCCTCATCATGATGATGGTGTGAGATACGTGGGGTGGGGAGTTGGGGAGAGATAGCATGGGGAGAAATGCCAGATATAGGTGAAGGGGAGGAAGGCAGCAAATCACACTGCCACGTGTGTACCTAGGCAACAGTCTTGCATGTTCTTCACATGTACCCCAAAACCTAAAATGCAATTTTAAAGAATTTTGTCAGAAATTAAAAAAAAAATAAGTGTCATAAGTTGTTACACCCACATTCCCTTAATGGAAACTGTTGGCATAATCACAAAGTACAGGACACTGAATCAATTTCATGAATCATCCAAAATTTCCTATTCAACTGAGTACCCAGCCCCACAATGGTCTAGTTTAATTCAGGGTAGCATTTAGATAATCTTTTCCCATAATGGCACATAAGTTTCAACTCACATGTCAACTCCAGTTTATTAGTATTAGCTGACTGAATAGCTAATTTGGGAAGTTTTGTGGCTGAGTTCATGCACAGAAGGAAAAAGTTCTGTAATAGATAAAAAATATTTGTCATGGGTGCGGGATGAGCAAATGGCTGCAAACAACAACCTGTCATCTTTGATTTGTAGTAATAGGGATCTCTTGTGCACATCTTTTAGGCAGTCCACAAAGACATTTCTCCTAAGACTTTTGATAAATTTCAGGCAGTAGAGGGTTTAAGGTCATCACTGGCCAAAACCTAGGAGCAGAAATTCTGAGATATTGATTAATTCATAGGTCTTTAGTATTGATGAGAGCATATAACCTAAAAGTTATGTGGTCTGATCCCATCCCCCCAACCTTTATAGAGGTTGGCAAAAGAAGTACCTATTGTCAGGGCTAAATGTGACTGGGTGACCTACAACTGGCAGATAAATCGATGATTAAGGATGGAAAATACTATTTCATAGAGCATGGCTGCAATACTTTTAGCCTAGTAAAAGAGAAAATTGATGTGCCAAATCATGAGAAAACTTACACCCGAGCCACAGTGGAATCAGCTAAACCTTTGAAAGAAATGTCTTGCTTTTACTACATGAGACCTATTATAAAATATTGCTCTCCGTGCACAAGGTGAAACACACAGACACACATACATCTCATTTAAGAAACTGTCCTTTAAATTCCTATGTTAGGAGATAAAGTTGGCAGAATTATATGCACTCCGTTGGTCTGAATTAATTTTTATTTCCCAGCAGTAGTGATTAACTTTTTCTGAAGTAGAAAAATGTTAACTTGTGAAGAATAAGACAAAGTTCATAATGATTATGGCTACTGATTAACCTACAAAATTTGATGAGCTTTTCAATATCCTTGCTTAATATGATTTCTCATCTTAAAAAGGGGATATGATATGGGATGGAGACAAAAATATTCCACATTACAGAGTTCCTTGCATACCAAGGATACTGGAAATTGTGTGTGTGTGTGTGCGCGCATAAAATTAAGCATTGTAACATCCGTTCTATATTCCAAAATTATTATTAAAATAAGCTCATTTATCTTTTTATTAAGATGGCTAATGAGAAATAATTTTCTGGTTTTTGTAGCCATGGGCACATAGTAGGCTGCCAGTCCAACAGCCTATGATTAGTAAATAAAGGGAAACTCACCGTCAGGGAATGTCCTTCCCATCTCCCATTGTCCTTCTCCATGTCATTTACAAAGAAGCTATTCCCATATTGAAATTTTCATTAGCCTCGCAGGGCCATTGTCAGAGAATCCAAAGTTTCTCTCCTCTAAGATCAGAACCCAACTTGGCTTCTCAGATGCATCTACATTGATGCTCCCTCCCCTATCTTCCTCTGAGCCACTCTAATCAGCAAGTCCCTGCTGTTGGCCATATCCTGTATCTGTCTTTTGTGTTTGTTTTCAGACTTCCTTAACTTGGATCATGTGGACTTTCATGTTTTACCTTTAAACATCTTGCCATAGTTCCAGGTCTATCTTGATTATCATTGAGAAACCTTTCTTTTATTTTTCTTTTGTTACAGTTTTATAATTCACTTGTGAAATCCAGTAACTTTTTAATCCTCTCTTTCTCCAGTGTTCCTATAGCATTTTGTTCACAATTGTACGTACATCTATTGCCATC